AACATCCCCTGAATTGCTGTTTGGTGCCCTCCCTTTGCCTCAGCTTGAGAAGGCCAAAAGCAAAACCAGGGGCAGCAGAGGATTTGCTGAACGACACTTGCTAAACGACTCATGGTTTGCCACATGGGACATTTCTTGTATTCTCCATTTTTCAACATGGTGGGCTTCTTTCCTTTTGGTCTGGTACAAAGAAAGGTAATGGCTGAACTGGCCTTTTGGTTGGACACGGCCCACACACACACCAACAGTCGCCACAAGCTGCTTGATCCCAACTTTCTTATCCACTGTTAGTGAGCGGGCGCAGGGGCCAACCAATTTGTATCTCTTCTCAAAGCAATTCGTATCTCTTGAAGGGAGCCCTGCCCCTTTTTGGTCTCTCCTGATTTCGACTGGACAAGTCACTTTCCGTCACTTGAGTGACCAAGCCACTTGGGGCATGGCTTTGATGCAACTTCCTGGGTGGATGGGCCAAAAAACTGTCCCAACTTTCTCTTGGCCACTAAAATGGCCATGGGTCAAAAACCCGAATACCCCCAGTGAACATGCCCAATCCCCAAAATAGACTAAGAATGGATGGTGCACCCACCCCAAAATGGTCCTAGTACCATTGGTTTTGACCCACAGCCAAATGGTCCTCCCAAAAGTTAACTTGAGTAAAACATGAGGCCAGTTGGAGCACTGACCTTTGGCGACGTCCTGGAGACATCGCCGCATCCCGGGGGAGGACGGTCTGGTTCAAACGGCCCGTGCTGCCAGCTCGGCGGCCTCCAGTCAAGCAGTTTTAAGCTCGCCCTGGGACATGTGCTAGCTCCTCACGTAGAGAGGTTAGAATAAGGGTACCAACTTTTTCCTGCAGTCTATTTTAGTAGGGGAACCCGCCCAAAAAAAAAGCAAAAGGGCACTACTGGGGGACCTAGTATGCGCAGCTTGTCTTTTTTAGGAATCGGACCGGGACCCCAAAATGGCGCTTTTGGGTTCCTTTTGTGTTCCTTTTGAAGCCACCAAACAAGTGTACCAACTCCAAAAACAGACAAGCTATCGGTATTGTGGGTAGTTCTCAAAATAGTGGCCTAAAATGGTTGGCTTCCGTTTGGCTTCCCAGCCATTTGGGAAGGTATTTTCATTGACACCAATACTTGAATCACTTAGTAATATGGGTGCTTGTCACAACCGTTAGCGTCCTTTTAGCCCCCTTTCAACAACGGCCAAAAGGGTCACATTGTCGGACGCCCATTTTCATTGCTAAAGCTATTTGTACCACCTGAAAGCGGGGATCCCAAAAAAGCTGAACAAGTTGGCCGTTTCCTTCTCCACGGTTTGTCGGCGAGCACTGACGACCGAGCGCTTAGATACGGTTAAACGACTTAATCAGAAGCCTCAATGAGCGGATTTGCGAAAGCCTTGCGAACGTTGCTGAGGGACTCAAGAAAGTTTCTGCCAAGAATGTACGAGTACATTTGTTTGCCTTTGCCAACGTGGAACATTCTGTGAGAGACACTCTCCAGCCCTGAATGTATGCAGTAGTTAACCTTCGGTACATGCTTCTGCCAAACGGGCAAGACTCTCAAGACGCCAAATTCACCTTCTATCTAAGATGACAGCTTCTTTTAGGCCGGGCTCGTCTGAACCAAATGCATTAATGGATAATGGGGGTTCCTACGGGGCGGGGGGTCCTTGGGACGGGCGCGTGGAGCATCGCCCTTCTGTGATACCAAAGTGGTTGATTTCCATGCCCATGACCGCTCACTGTTTCAAAACAGGTCCCCTTGAAATTGCAGAATGTGGCGCTTAACATTTTCTTGTAACAAACCAACAAATGTGTAAACTAAGACGTGACCAAATATTGCCTGGCTATTGTCTTCGCAAAGCTTGAAGTCCAGGAATTGGGGAAGCGAGGCTTTAGCCCTGGGTCCCAACCAAACCGTTTGGAGCGTACTGAACAACCGGACACGTTGACCCAAAGCCCTGTCGAAGCGCTTGCTTCACCGCCAAGGCAATAAGCATTGGGCCTCAGCATGGGCCTCAACATGGGCAACCACCCCCTTTCCCAACTGGCAAGTTGAGTGTGCCCAATGTCCTCCCCTTGTACTCTCGCTTTGGGGTCTCCCCCAAAAATTCTGTAGGGCAGACTGCATAATGATCTGAATGGCAGATTTTTCTCTATGTATGGTAGGCCCCAAAAGCCTACCTTTTGGACAAGCACTGGACATTTACCATGTCATGTTGCACATCGTGTAGCAGGTGGAACATGGTTGTCAAATGTGATCTTGTGCGGAAATCAGAAAACACAATTAAATTTAGCTGGTTGTTGTTGTCGCCATACCACGCAAATCATGCGCAGCCTCTATTTGCGAGAACTCCGCGTTTTCCCGAGAAAGCATTTATATTGCAGTGACATCCAAACGACGCGTGCCCCCCTCAGACCTAAGTTCAAAGAGTTCCCAGCCGGGGCGAGGCCAGCCATGGGCAACCTTCATCCCCCCCCCCCTTTTCCTTTTGCATACCACCCATTTATTGAATTTCTCGAAATGGGCCAACTGTTCGGTAGTTCTTGGACTTCATCGTTTTTTCGGACACCAGCATAAACCATAAATAAACTTTAGGGCACCAACTTTATGATTGAAATTCATGTAGGGCACCCATTTTACGGTTGAACCCCCGTTCCCTTGACCCACACACCCCGCCCCCCCCAACCCCCCCCCCCCGGCCCCACGGCCGCGTCTCGCAAGCCGCGCTTCTCGCCTGGCGAGTGTGGCTCGAAGCTCGCCTGGGCCGCTGAGGCTTGGGTGTGCCGCAGCAGCCGCGAGATCCGGGGTCCTTCGACGCCCGGCAAAACGCGGCGGCCGGCTTACTGGCGGAGGGGGGACTTCCGGGGAAACCGGAGGCTTTTTTTTTTCCCCCTTGCAAAAGCCGGAAGCAACGCTGCTGTTGCAAATTGGAGGTTTCTTGCAGGCAGTTCAAAATCTTAAATAATAGACAAATGCTTTTGCCAAACAGAATCCGGACAACACAAAGCGAAGAATGCCAAAGCTGGAGGCTAAAGGCCTTCGATCTAGGATTTCCTGTTTTGCCGGAGGCCTCCAAACCAGCAATTTGATGTATACACTTGCCTTTTTTTTCAAAAAATGCAAGGCTCAAAAGTCGCACAAGGGGGTTCTTCATGGGAGCCCCTGATGCTGTTTAATCTGTTTTGAGGTCTTTCCACTAAAGAGGCTCGGAACGACTCGGGGATCGCTGTATACTTGCGACCAACTTTTGGAATTTGAGGAACACTCTTGGTCGCCGTATGGTCAGCACTTTGTTAACCCTTCGTGGGGTCACAAATCGGTGGAAATGGAACCCTGGTGGAAACATAGAGACTTTGCACTCCCCTGGCCTAGCGGAGGCTTTCAGAGTTGCAAGACCTTCCACCGCTCTACCTTGGCCGCCATGGCCCAGTCGAATTCTATTGCTCCGCGGCACCAACAAATTCACACACCAACTCGAGGAGCTGCTTCCAGTTGCAAAAAAGGGCCCATGGGCAAAACTTCCAGGACTTTCTCTCTTGGAATTCATGGCTTGGAATCCTCTTTGGTGGGCTAGCTTGCGCAAAGACTGCGAAGGCCATTCTGATCAATAGCAAATCACCTTCCGCATTTTACCCACCTCTCAACCGCATCGAACACCATCCGTCGGACTCTAGTTCGCTATGGCGCCGCATAGGGCTCGCTCAGTTTGACTTCCACTTTGGAAGCTCAGGACTCCCGATGCTTGGTTTCATGCTTGCTTCCTTTGGTCCAAAACGGGCGCCCAAGAGACGGAACACCTCTCTGTTAATGCACCTCTCTGGTTGATAGATCCTTTGTTCAGGGTTCCACTTTTTGACTAAGGTAGACTTCAACCAAGGGGCTCCCCTGGAGGGAATCAACCACCTCTGGGTTGAAGCCTGTCAAAAAGTGGAACTCTGCCTAGGTTCATTATACTCGGTGGCTTTCTGCTCCCCTGCTAACAGTTTACCTTTTAGTGGTTCGGTTTAATTGGAAAACCGATTAGTTGGCAAAAAGTGAAAGTCCTAACATCCAAGCAACATGCACTAAAGTATAGATCCTGGGTTCACTTTGTCCAATTCAATCAAAAAGCCCCACACCGGAAGGCTCCTGGAGAGGCAGGCTCGGTTTCCCCTCGGGGGAAGCAGCCTGGCGGTGTGCGCGCTCTTTGGGTGAACGCCTGAACGTCCAACACCCCATGCGAGTGTCTAAAAACGAAAGGAGTGGCAACGGCTGCATAGTACCTCATAAATACTGTACGCATAACAGCAATTCGAAGACACTAAGTAACTAAAAGGGGCATCGCATTGAGCCCACATGTGCTGGAACGAGCAGCATATCCTCCCACATGATACACGTGCTGCTGATGAACTTGTGTTCAATACTGATCGGCGGAGAATAACGCAAACAATGACGATCAATGACGCAACAAGCAAGACACCGCATGGTTGATGAATTGGCTGTTGGTGAACTGGTGGTGGATTGGTTGTTTGTTTGTCTTGCTTTGTTTGTTTGTTTGTTTGATTGATTGATTGATGGATTGATTGGCTTGAATTCACGCAAAAGACATGTATGAGTGAACCAACACACAAATGAGAGAGCTGAGTGACCAAACGACTGAGTGACTCAGTGCCTGAGTGACAGTGACTAAGTCACTAAACAACTAACTGACTAAAGGATAGAGCGACTGAGTGGCTCCGTCTGAGTGAGAGCAATAATGATAGTGCGTGAGAGTAAAAGGGAGACTGACTGACCGACCAACCAACCGACTCACTGACTCTCTGACTGACTCACTGACTTGGGATGGCTGGCTGAATGAACTTGCCAAGTGGATACACGGACGGTGCACCTACATGAGGATACGACATTCGGATCAGTTTGCTTGGAAACCAGGCTGGCTCCGCGTCAATGCATAACATTCAGTAAGGAACCGAAGTGCTGCAAAGGTTGCTTTCTGCTCCCTGCTAAAAGTTTAACATTTAGTGGTTTCATGGAAAACCCATTAGTTGGCAAAAAGTTAAAGTCCTAACATCCCAGCAAAATGCACCAAAGATAAGCTCTGCAGACATATTTGTACATATCATGCAAACGTTTGTTGGACGCTTTGCCTGATTTTTCCAGCAAGTAAGATGTACAATGTCGCCTAGCTCTCCAGCAACAGCGTGTCCTGGAAAATGTTGACCCAGGATTCATGAACCCATCCCATGATTAGGGGGGTGCTCCCTCCAAAAGTCGTCTGGATCCCCCTAAAAGGGGACACCCAACTATTTATCAACCAGGGGTTTATTAATCCGGGGTTAACATTAAGAACCTCCACCACTTGTCGCAAAACCCTCATTGGTCTTCAGGCAGGGAAGCTCTCATACCGCTTTGCTGAGGCAACCTCGAAATGGCAAGGCCTCCGTTGATTAGGCTGTGGGTCAAAACCAATGGGATCCCGTTTTGGGGTAGGTGCACCACCCATTCTAGTCTATTTTAACGGGGATTGGGATGTTCACCGGGGGTACGGGATTTTGAATGCAGATTCCCCTTTCAACGGAGTGGACAACCTGTTTGCTTCTTCTGCTTTGCTCAATCTGGTTGGAATATTCGAACGGATTCTTTGTGCGGTCACGGAGTCACGCTGGACCAATGAAAAGCCACCAGTTAACATTCAAGCATACTAAGTATACAGGGTTTGTTTGAGCCTTGTGGGCAGCACCATCCCCGGAATTCCAACTCCAACCATTATATATATACATATACGCATTTGTATATACATATATATATATATATAAATAACCAGTGGCATGTTAATATGTTTTTTAAATAAGATATTGACCACCTGATTAGGCGGGTTGGTGAAGGCAACTGGCCAAGGCCGTACCTTATGGACCAGCCGTTCAACAAAAGACAGGTCTGTTGCGTGTCCTTAGGCTGGACCCCGCCCCCCCCCCCCCTCCCAACAAACCCGGTTGCTTCGGTGGTCCTTTGGTGTCCCCCTCCCAAAGAAAAACCGATTCGGTGTTTTTCTTGGTGTCCCTTTTTGACGCCAAGGAGAAAAACAGGTAGGTAGCAAGTCCGGACATATTTTCTTGGATGCCAAAGCACATGCTTCGGTTTCCCCTTTGGCTTCCCTTAAACCACCAACAAATTCAGGTACCAAGTGCAAACACAGGACTTGCGCGCCAGCCATTTGATCCTTGGAAGCCACCCGGTCCCCCCCGCCGGGCGGTGCCTTGAGCTTCTGGAGACTCTGCTCCCAACTTGTGCCGCTTTGGGCTTTCACACGCGCCAGATCCTGGTCCTTGGCCAGCGGAAACCAATCCACAGCTTCCCTCAAAAAGGCCTCTCTATTTTATCATGATCAAAGTCCCTCCCTAAGTGATTTATGAACACCCCCAGAAACGGTCAAAACAATGACCCCAGTTGGAGCCTCTACACGAACCAGGGGTTCAAATCCAAATCCAAACCACCAATCCAAACTCACCAATTAAGGGTTACCTGAGCTTCAGGTCTGCTCCAAAAAAACGACTGTAGGAACTTCGCTGGAGAGGGGTCAAAGGCAACATGGAGCCAGCACCGCTTTGTTCTACCTTTTTCTTTGGTCGGTTCTTTTGGATGCAGAGTCACCCTGACCTATCTTGGGCCATGACCCTCTAACATGTTCTCAGATGCCCACTGACCATGAGGAAAAAATAAAAAATAATCGGCATCCTTTCTTGCTTGGCTGACTTTACAGGGGAAAAAGGGGCGCCACTGGGCAACTGGGTGTTGAACCACCCGCTGTCTAAACCGGCTTTTGGTTCTGTACAGAGACCCGCACCAGGCGGTTCAAACCGCCCATCCCGTCGCCAGTCGCTCGCCAAGCCGCTCTGTGCCAGATCCCGACGCGCGTCGCTCCTTGACCGCCAACTTGGGGCTGGGGAGAGGGACGGGGAAGGGCAACTGGGTCCTCCAGAGAGGTTGGAAGGGTGCCCGATGTTTTTTCCGGTTTGTCTATTTTGGTAGGGGAACGCTCCCCCAAAAAAGGGTACAAGGGGACTACTGGGGGAGCTAGGCAAGGAGAAAGAGGGAGTGAAGAGCTCCCTCGGCACAAGACGAGTGATCTATTCCTCCAGCCCTTGGTGTTGCCTTTACTCGGGGTCGCCTGAAAAATTATCTCACTTGCCCCTTGGGGACCCAGAAACAAAAGGTGATCACCTTTTGGGCCCATGACTAAAACTAGACCAAACAGGAGAAACCAAAAGGTGAAAAGGTCGGCTTTAGGCAACTAAGTCATTCCTCATTCAGAAGCCTCTGTGACTGTTTCAGGGTTCGCTTTAATAGAAAGCTGCTTGTGGGGGGGGGGGAACATCTGGGAAAAAAGTCGCGAGCTTGCAACGTCGATGCAAGCTAAGGGCAAATACGCCATGGCTGGTTTTGACATGTATTTCCTCGCAGCCACGGGATTGCCCCGCTTGCCCAATCACCCTGGTAGGACAAAGGCGCCCTTGTTGTGGCTGACCATTTCGAGGCGTGATCTTCTGGTTATATTGACAACCCAAAAGAAATCCCCCTATGTTCACACGACCACATTTTCATTTTCGGGGAAAGAGACCGTGACTCGGAGGGTGCCATCCACCAAGATATGGTTGGTGACTCAGCAGCCCAGTCGATTTCAATGGGGAGAAAAGGCATCGTGCTTGATTTTATCGCATTACACCACCCCAAAAAACAAGACAACACTGAAACAAGGGGCACCACTAGGCAACTGGGGTCAACATCAATTCAACAATTTGCGGATGTTCGCTAATCGGTTGCTTTCTGCTCCCCTGCGAAAGGTTTAAGTTTTAGTGGTTTAATGGAAACTCATTAGTTGGCAAAAACTTAAAGTCCTAACGTCCAAGCAACATGGCCAAAGGCTAGTTCTTTTGTTGTTCGAGAGCATTGCCACGCAGCCAAGCATCTTCGTGCTCTCCAGCGACCCACCTGCACAAGCCAATTGCTTCGCACTTTGAACTGATTTGGGTTCCGTCAACACATGTGGAACCTGGCTTGCACCCTTTTCCTCTAAACAACTTTTAGTGGGTGGCCATGTTAGTGGGTTGCAGTGAGTGTGCCGTTTTTGTTGTTGCTTTGTTTCAGGAAAAACCCTTTTTGTGGCAGTTTCCGTGAGAAATCAGGGCCCCTCCCTCCCTTCCCCGCATTCTGGGCTTCCTCCGACACCCATTTGGTTCTGTGGATGCTGCGGGAGTGTGACCGCATCAGAGGCAAACCACCTCTGAATTTGTTCTAGTTGGTGTGAAATGGTTTCTCCAAAGAAATCGTGCTCACATCTGCGGTTTGCATGCAGGAGGGGGTCAGACATGATCCATTCATTTTGAAGAGTTCACCCGTTTTGGGCTTCATGGTCATGTGGAGAGCGGTTGCCCGTGGCTGTTCTCTCACGCTCTGAATACACATGCATCGCCAGATGGCGTCCATTTGTCATTTTCTGGTGTTTTTGTTCAAATTGCCCTTTTCAGGCTGGTTTAAGAGCTCCAAATCCTTGTTTTGACGCATCACTTGACGGGCGATCCGAGAGCTGGTCTCGACTCAAACAATTCACGACGGAATGTAGACGTGGTTGGGGAAAATAAACTTAGGGCCACCCCCGAGGGGGAGGTATGGAGGCGCTCCTGCTTCTCATGTACAAAATCAAATTGATCGCATGCCTTCGACCTCCGACTCCAACACTGCGCGTTGCCAAACATCAAACCACGTGACCGAACACGCGGAACATGATCAAGTCAGTGACAATGTCAACGTCCGTGCCTTTATGCGAGGAACGCACATCTTGCTTGGAAACGACTGGTGAACAAGAACGTTCCACGCGGCCCAGCTAAAGCTTGGGGCTGCATCTATGGGCCATCTGCCGGATGGATCTCTCATTTCACCTTTGAGCACGCAAATCCAACAGGCCACCAGGCATCTGATACGTAGAAGAGTAACACAAGACCTCAAAGCCTCCCCCAAACCTAAGCCAACAAAAAGCCTCTCTGTGTCTCCATCCCTCCCTCTCCCTCCCTCCCCCCCTCCGCCTTGAGCCAAGGTGGGAGGGCGTGACCTGCGCGGGGCTGGAATCAGCAGCTTTATTCTGATAGTCAGTAAGTGAACAATTGAGGCACAACAAACATTGGGGTGGGCTGCATGAACTCAAGAATGGGGTAAACTCTCCAACATGTTCAGCCTCGCTTCTTCCTGCACGTGGCTCTTTTGCAAACTCGCCATCAAAGAGCCCCGTTCAGCTCACTCCAAACTCCAAGCTTTCGCATCTTGCGGACTCAGGCAATGCAACTCAGTTTGCGCCATCTGCTTCCATCATCCCAGCGGATCTCGGGAGGGCCAGTGGCAAAGGGCCCGTCCAGCATTCCGCCCTGCCACACCCCCCGCAACTCCTTGGGCCCCCCCAGGGGTTTCCAATCCACCCAGAACTGGCGATTCACCCCAGCGATGCGGAAGATCAATGGGGCGCCCTGGATCCCGGTGGAGATCAACTTCCACTCCTTTCCCTCCTTGAACCCTGAAATGGTCGCAGTGCCATCCTTCACCACGATGCTTGCCTTGCCCCCCAGTGACTCAGGGATGCTCCAGGTGCCGTTAAACACAGACCCCTCGCACTCCTCGGCTTCGGCATTTGCAGGCGCAACACCCGCCGCGCCCGCCAGGCTCAGCCAGGGCCTGCGCCGAACTTCTCTCGCCTTCGCCGCGCGGGCGGTTTGGGCGACGCGCCACGTGACAGCCGCGGCCAGTGGCGCGGCGAAGGTGAAGCGCGGCGGCGCACCATGCGCGGCGCGGGCGGAAGCGGGGTTGCGGATAGCTCGCAGCGGCTGCGATGGAACTCTCACAACAGCGGGAGAGTTCATGGTTGGCCGTTTCTCGAGCCAAGGGTCAAAGTGAAACCTCCGCTCCTGTGCATGCCCCGAGGTAAACAGGGCATCTCTTGCAATTTTCGAGCTACCAGCAAACCAAAGCTGGACCCAGCTTGCCCAGTGATCCTGGCGAAACAGGGCCTGACTACAAAGCGGAACCTGAGCTACCGGAAGCGACGCGATCCCCGGCCTGGCAGACTTCCTGTCAGCCTCGTCCTAACAAAAGTCGAGCGCTTTCCGCGGGGAAGCCGACCACTCCGGAAAGGTTTTGAGCACCTTAGAGGGGTTCTTCATTAGAAGGGTTCCGAGAACCAGTCTGCTGGAAACCAACCACAACTCTGGAAAGCAGGGTTCGCAAAACTATTCTGCTGAAGGGATTTTCTCTAATGATTTGCGTATTTTATCTCCGGTCGGACATCGCCTATTCTAAACGGCCTTCGTATCTCTCCCTTCAAGGACCTTTCGGACGACTCGCATCTGTCAGCAATCAGGTCAGAAGCTGATGGGACATTTATTAAAATCATTCTAGCGGTTGATTCCCCATTCTTGTCAACCATCGTTCTTTCCAAAAACCGGCCGTTTTCCCTGGGTTTCTGGAGGTTTTCTAGAAAGAAGGATCCCTAGAAAGAATGGGGAAAGTACCCCTAGAATCATTCGTCATGGCAAGCTGCCGCACCACACCATTGCAACTCAACACCTAAAACGCATGTCTGGTGGATGGATCACGTCACGAGCCCATCCCACACCCACGCACACCTACCCACAAAACCACAAACACACGCTCAAACAAACAAACGAACGAACGAGCAAACAAACAAACAAAGAAACAAACAAACAAAGAAATAAGCAACCAAACAGACAAACAAACCAACAAACCAAACCAAACCAACTCAAAGCAACCTAAAAACCAAACCGAAAAAACCAAACAAACACACCAGCAAATCAACCAAACCAGCAAACCAGCAAACCAAACAAACAAACAAACAAACAAACAAACAAACAAACAAACAAACAAACAAACAAACAAACAAGCACACAAACAAACAAGCACACAAACAAGCAGGCGAGCGAGCGAGCGAGCAAAAAAGCGAGCAAACAAACCAACAAACAACCACACAAACAAAATACAAAAAACGAAAGAACAAACAACAAAAAAAAACACACACACTCTTACAAACAAACCACAGCACGCATACACCAACAAACACATACACAAACACATACACACAAACATGAACACACACACACACACACTCACAGATAAGGATGGATTCATATTAATTCCCAAACACAAGAATCCTAAATAAAAAAGAAAACTGTAAAAGAAGCCAATTAATAAAACCCAACAAGATAATGGCTTTCTTTACCTTCATCCTTTCATCATCTCTATCTCATGTTAGGATTATTCTAGAGGTTAGTGATTGGTGAAATGGTTTTATGATGTGATATCCCTTCCATCTAATTCTCTTTATCCTGCCATTTTCATTTCATATTTATTTAGATTTATATCTTCATCTTAGGATTTCTGGAATTACAATAAAACCAAATAAGATAGAAAAGACAGGATATAGAATCTCTTGGACACTTCCTTCTCTCTATCCTGTTGATGTGCTTTCTTTAGGTTTAATATTTGGATCTCATGCATCATTTTTAGTTGATTCTTCTTTGTCACCATCCAAATTCCCACGTCCCAGCACACACACACACACACACACCCGCACGCACACGCACACGCACACGCACACGCGCACGCAC